AATGAACCAAAGCAAGGCAAAAGGAGAATAGAAGAACAAAAAGTTTGCGTGCAGGTGCCCGGATTTTGAAATCATGCGATGCTTCATCACGCTGCTCTGAATCCCGATTCTGGCTCAAATTTAAGGACTTAATTGCCGCCATCATTAATTTCAACTAGAATAATCGCCCCAACTCGGACTCGAAAGCTACCTCACTCATCGTCAGAGAGCGGAAAAGTCATATCGTCCCTTCGCTAAGAACCCTGGACACCATGTTCTCTATCCCGACTGAGGGCTCATGAAAAGATGTGGGTTGCACTCTTTCGCTGCTCACTTTTTACTCTTTCACAAGTTTCATGACCTGCCCGGAGAAGGAAGTGCTCGCGGAGTCCGGAAGCTAACTCGTTGTAAGAACCGTGTACTTGTAATAGGAATTGCATGTTGATAAGCTTTTCTTGAACCGTTCGGTGGCTTAGCGCCCTATTCGGAGATTTGAATATTGGGTCGGGGGACTAGTCTTTGGCACGACTTTTCTTCGACAGCTTTCTCTGGTACACTCCAGGTTCGCGAAAGGCTGCGACAGTAGAGTCAACGACAGGCGAATACCAAGCTTGGAAGAACACGTAAACGAGAACACGCGTTATAAGGGGCACTGGAAAAAAACCCATTGGATCTAGAGTCCAGACTCTTGAAAACATTGACGAGAAAAAATGCTCTTGATTCAATCGGATTTTTGCTTAAATCAAAACGAAATCCGCTTAAATTAAGAGGCTCGGTTCTTGATTATTAAGCTAGATTCTGATTGAATCAAAGGTACTATTTCTTGTCGATGTTTTTAAGAGTCTGGACTCTGGATCCGATGTGTATTTTTTCCAGTGGAAATAAGCGTAGAATTGATAAAAATTTAAATAATTTGATTAAATAATGTGAAATTTTTTTTGAGCCTTCAACAAGATTTTTCACCAATCCTGCTGTAAGCTCATGTACATTGAGTTTTGGGCAAAGAAGAGGTAGCCCCATATAATAACTTACTTTTGAGATAGAGAACTTTGAAAATTTTTGGCAGCTTGTGTACTTGTTTTTCCTTTCCTATTCTGAAACTTGTAGGAACGCGATGAGCCTCGAGGTTTAATATTGATTTTGCGCCGACACGTGAGCAATAGAAGAAAGAATTTCTCGATAGATTATCGAATATTGTCACTGTCCACGTGCCAGTGCCTGTTGGAATGCGTACGTGATTGAATCGTAGAGTTGGGCCATATCTCGGGACTTTCAGACGTCATGAAAAATCCGAAAAAAAAGTACGTTGGTGTTTGCTGTTTGGGTGCATTGTTTTGAAAGGAATTTTGGATCTTCGGTGGATATAGACTCCTTGATGATGATGATATCATTTGACTGATATCATTTTCCTTGCATTTCATGTAGACTTTATCCCCCAACCCCATTTTCATCGAACCACTCCTGCAACCTGATTGTTGAAATTTATGTCGGCACGACAAGAATCGAAAATCGATAAATTCCACCGTAAAGATAGGGCTATGTCTTGTCTTCACATGCTGACATATCCAGTTGACATATCAAGTTTCAACAATCAGGCTGCAGATCGAAGAAAGTTTTTCTCGGCAACACCATAATTAATTCTAAGATTTCGTGGTCAAGAGGTTTTGGTAACAGTCCGTCAGACGTTCAATCTTAATAAAGGGGGGATTTAATGACCACGTGCATTTCGGGTGCTGAAGCAATCATACTTCATACTGCTTACTCATTAAAAACAATATAACCACGGTCAAGCGTTCTGCTATCATAACTGTGAAGTGTGAAACGAACTTGAACACAACTTTGAAGTTGTGATTAGAGGGATTTGACAGAGCGCTTCGTTTAGTCAGTAGTATGAAGCGTTACGGATTCTAAAGACGGTTCCAGAGGTCGAAATGCATGAGGACAACAAACTTACAAGTACGCTTACATTTTGTAATTATTCATGACGAAATTGACTTAAACTGCAAATTAGATGCTTCAAAAATTCGAAAATTTCCTGGGGGAGGGGGAGGCCCTCGGACCCCCATTACGCCCCCCCCTCCCGTTCGAGGTGTCTGGATCCGCCTACGTCGTTTATCCCGACTAATTTGCTTTACCTGTCTAGCTCGTGCAAGTACGTACCAGAAAAAAAGAGAAATTTCCACGAAGGCCAGGGTAATAATTTTGGGTGACGCATAATGAAAGTGCCGGGTTCGGTGGAAAGTATCGAACGCTGATTACAACTAATTAGATGCGGAATCAGACGCTACAAGATGAGCAGGGCCCGCGCGCGAGGTGAGACAAACAGGCTTCGCGCGATTGCCAATTTTTGAAGAAAAATTGATGAATTTCAAAGGATTTTCACTAGAAAAGCATAGATTTCTGGGTCGATAAGACAATGCTGGGTTCCGTACGCACTGCACCGATAAAATTGCTAAACCAAGTGTGAAAACCGCCATTCGTGCTTGTTTGCTCCGGCGAGAGAAAAAAATAGATACATAAGTATATTTTCATTTCTGCTGACCGATCGAGCGAGAAAAGGAAACTCGTAATTGAATCCATCATCGAAGAGGAATATTACACTTGCAACTGAATATTACGCGTCCGTCCTCCGGGTGGAAGGGATGAATGACTGCAATGGATAATGATGCGCGTTTTCACTTTTGTGATCTGGTTTGGTCATGGTTTTTCCGCTTGGGCGTCTGCCGCAAGGATGCTGAGTTTCTTCCTTGATGAATTGTTTGAGGTAAACAGACTCAGGAAAGTACCAATTATTAAATCGGAAGTTTTTAACTTCGTTCATTATTGTGTTTAAATCAGGATAAAAATTGGAATTTCGCCATCGGACACTGGAAAAAAAACTACATTGGATCTAGAGTCCAGACTCTTGAAAACATTGACAAGAAAAAGGACTCTTGATTCAATCAGATTTAAGCTTAAATCAAAAGGAAATCCGCTCAAATTAAGAGGCTGGGTTCTTTAATTAAGTTTAAATCTGCTTGAATCAAGAGTATTTTTTCTTGTCGATGTTTTTAAGAGTCTGGACCCTAGATCCAATGTGTTTTTTTTCCAGTGTATACTGCCGATGAGAGATAAGGTGTCGCCCAGGTTCGGGAGAAAAGTGAAAAAACGAGGCCCGAATACATCTCTCCTACGACTTCGGCTGTGTTGCTCACGTAGCCCGTGAAGCACCACTACAAATAGGACAAGCGGAACCGACATAACATGGAAACAGAGCAAGGGACGTGCTGCCAGCTCGAAACGCGCACTGACGCCTACAAACCTAAAGGGATACTTCAAGCATTGCGCAATGCGTGAAGTAGTCCTTTAGGTTTGTAGGCGTCAGTGCGCGTTTCGAGCTGAAAAGACGCGCGTTGATGACGGCGCAGAGATACAACTATTCGTACTCGATGGATGTCGATGTTGCGTCTGCAAAATTGAAGGCGCGATGGCGCGAGGCGTGAACTCGCAATGTTCCGTCTATACTCCCAATGAAGTGTCAGATCCGGGAGAAGAGTTAAACGACGAGGCTCGAATACGTCTCTTTCATCTATGTCTGTGAGACTCTAGATCGAATGTGCTTTTTTTTTTTTTTTTTTTTTTTTTTTTTCCAGTGGACACAAATAGACTCCGCTCATTGTTAAAAAAAATATCCAATATACACTAGACAAATGGGAATCGAGAAAAATTATTTTAAACCCTGATTTTCTCGTGCAACTCAATATAAATGGCAGTTTTCACAAATCAACGAGTTGCTCGCGACTTGGATTTGTGGACAGAGAAAAATTTAGGTATGATTATACTTTGAACTTAAAACTACTTTTACTCACTGCTTTCGAAAGATCAGGTGCGCTTGTCAAAGAATCGTGGTTTGATAGTTTAAGCTTGTAGTTAGCAAAAAAAATTTAAGATCTTTTCAGATACCAAGTTTCCACGTCCAGCGTCAACGGTGAGATCGCCCTTCGGAAAAAGGCGGTATGACGTCATCCACCGTGGTAATGCAAACCATGATTTCTTTCATCTTGGTTTCATCCGTATTTTAAGTAGAGCAACCAGTAAAAAAATATGTGTCCCTATAACTGTCGAATCCAAACTAGAATCCAAAGTGAAAGAAATCATGGTGCGTACTATCGCGGTGGATGACGTCATAGATCATGTTTTTAAATGACTTTACTTCCCTTAATACTGGACGGAGAAACGAGGCGTTTGAACAGATTTCATTATTTTATGCTGATCCACAAGCTAAGCCCACAAAAATACGATTCTGTGACCAGTGCAACTGATCCACTCTAAATCAGTTCTTCTGTACATAACACGGTCTAAAGTCATCGTTTCCCTTATTGCCAAATTCCGCTACGCGACTTGCATTTATAACAGGAAAATCTTGGGAATTTCTAACTGAATATTTTCCTAATTTTTCCTCCGATATAATGCAAAAATCAGAAAAATCTTGGATAATAAATTGCACCGGTACGTTTTTGTAAAAAATTGAATTGTTAGGGTCAATTTTGCATCCTTGGAATGAAGTTACGTTCCATCGTCGGGGATCCAGCGAATCGAGCTATTTTCAAGTCGATTTGGCTTTCCTCCCTGATTTTTCTAGGTTTTCAGTATTTAAATCAAAAGGAACTACAGGTATCTATTCTAACATGAGCCTGAGATCCATAAGAGTACATACATGGCAGGACTTATACCACAATGGATATAGTTCCTTTTGATTTAAATACGTCCATCATTGGCGGATCCAGAAAATTGGCAACATTGTCTCTTCTCCATTTAAACACACGGAAATGTATGGGGCCAGCCAGGTGCTTTGATAATAATCGATTATTTAGCATAGGTTTAAATGGAGAGAATCCGGTGTTACTAAATTGCTGGATCCGCCTCTGACGTCCATTCCAACAACTCGTCACCCCCTGAAACCAAAAGTAAGACAAAAACTCCAACATTTTTCACAATAACGAGAGAACATGAAATCTTAAAATGATAAAAAGCATACATACTGTCTTTTCGGGGCTCGTCCCAGTAGATCTCGCGATCGCGATTCGGGAGCTCGGGGTCGGGGTTCGAGTCCCCGTCGAGGGCGGTTTGTTCGCTGGGCGGGATCATGGCGCCACCGGCGACGGCCAATATCATGCCCGACGGCCCGCACTTCACTCAAACACTCGCGTGGAGCCCCGCTCGCACAACACTGACGACGACACTGACATCATCGCGGATACAGGGTCCTCGTTCCGCGCACTTTGAGCCCGCGACTCTGATAAGCTAATGATGCGACTTTCAATTCACCACACTTCTCCTAAAAAATTAGCACGATTATTCGCCGATCTTCACAGGGATGCCAAGTTAAGAACGGAGACACAGTGTTTCGAGGACCGTTCCCCTACAGAATTTTTTTTGGGGCTTTTTTGAGACTATTTTTTGAGCTTTGGGAGGATATGGGACTTTGGCGGCAGGCGGCTAGGTGTCTCAGAGCGCCAGAGAGCGCTATAAAAGCGGCTTTTATAAGTACAACATTTTTTTAGATTGAAATAAAAAATACAGGGTGTCTACTAAAATACCATTTCGGATTTTCCTGATAGTTTCTTGATTTTTTCTGATATTTAATATGAAATTTCCTGGCTTTCCGGGTGTTCAATTGACACTCGAATGATTTAGCACTTCAAAATATTCGATGAATTGACTCAAATATCTAAAAAGTGGTTGAACCACTCAGAATTGCATGATCCATGAACGGTTTTCTCGATATTTTCCTGCTCTGTTCTGATGACGTCAAATTTTCGACGGTAGACACCCTGAAAAATTATTTCGCTTAAAAATTTACTTGCAGGGGAGGATGTTATTCTTAATGAAAAAAAAGTTTGTTTTTAATTCAAAGAAAACTACATTTGTCATCGATGACAAATTTACATAATATATTTCCCCTGAGCATACGTCGAGTACTCAAAATTTGATTGGAAACTCCTAGAAGACACTACTTTAATAATACAAGCAGATCTCTAAAATATCTATCATATCGTTCCTCAAACGTTAAGGGCTCCTTGACCAATGTAATTCTTATGAATTAAAGAGGTCTGAATGTTTGAGAAACGACTATGAATACGACACTATGAGCTCCTGCTTAACTCGGCAGCCTTGTTTTTTAAGCACGTGCTATACTATGTATAGATCGGTTATCGTAGTTTAATGATGATAACAGAGTTGAGGTAGGGTGGGAAAGGACAAATTCAATTCCAGGGAAAATAATATGCAATTGCTTACTCGCGAGAAATTATCTCGTCTTGGCGTCTTCAAAGAGGTTATCGGGATTTTTAAGGCCAATTGTACATTTACAGAGATTTCGTATTCGTAGTTTATGTGAGTATACGCTGAAAAATGATATGCTTGCATCGGATATTCTATGTAGATTGATAGGTTATTCTTCTTCAAATTTTTTACGAAAACATTCGGGGTTTGAAATAATTTTGAAATTTTTAACTGACAATGAGAGAAAATTTCACACAACAAAATCGATCTTTGTATCATATGTTGGTTTCAGCTTGAACGCATTCGAATCCTGCTTGCACGTAGAACGTAATACTACAAACGTAGAATGTAAACAAAATGCAGATTTAATTGGAGAGAAATGGTTATGGAGATGCTCCAATGTGAATGGGATTTTATTCAAGAAGAAAGGTTATGAAGATTCTCCAATGATATTGAGAATTGAGGTGATCGGAGGGGGAGGGGGGTCGAAAATGAACTTGAACGATTTCTCTTGTGATTTGAACAATTTTCCAGTATCTAACTTCACAATAAACTCATTTTCAAACACTGAAAAAAAACTTTCGGTGTATTTACTAAGAAAAGGGTAAAATTACCAAGAATTCAGGGTTCTTTTTGATCCCAGTTTTTTTTTTTGGTAAAATTACATTTATGGAATTGGTAATTTTACTGGTCCTTGGTAAAAACGCCAATATTTTTTATCGACTGTGGTAGAATTACCGAGATAAAATGGCAAAGTTACCGGGAATTGATTACCGATAAAAAAGGTATTCTCACCTGAAAAAAACAGTAAAAATTCCGGTTTTTAGGTAAGCTTACCAATCTGTCTTGGTAAAATTACCAATAATTGGTAAAAAAAGTGAGATGGTAAAGGTACCAACGGAACTCGGTAAAAACGCCGAGAATTTTTTTTTCAGTGGAGCATGATCTCCCCGAGAATAAAATAAAGCCACCCTCTTTATTCGCCGAGGGGCTTCATCGATAAAACGCAAATTACCAAAACGCAGCTGACGTCATCCACTATCTCATAATCATCCGAACTATGATCTATAATTTTTCACTTAATAGTCGATTTTCAAACTGCCTCGTCCTCAGCTCCGAGGGCCCCGCCCGAGCCGTAGACCCAATCGATAATGATAAACGGCAAAAGTATTCAACGATTGAATGCAGATCGTGATACTTTCAGTTTTACTTTTCGCCGGAATTGCATAAATACGCCCTGGAACCTCGATCCGCGATGGAGTCACGCCAAGGCGATCCATTTATCCCCTCCTCCGACCAGTGGCCGGTGGCGTGGCGTGCTTTGCGATATATCGATTGTTCTGCCATTTAAACCTATAGTAAAGAATCGTTTATTAAGGTGTTCGCTGCGAACACCCTGATTATCGATCCTTTTCCATACGTTTAAATGGCAGAACAATCGATATATCGCAAAGCACGCCACGCCACTGCCTCCGACCTCTGCATTGACTACGGAAACAACCGGGTCACCCACCCAACTTTCATGTCTCCATCCTTTGTAGTCCCTGCTTATGGCTATTTTTTCCGTTTTCTCGCCGTCCATTCGATGCTAACGATCTCTTCGATCGGGTCCAAGGATCCACGAGCTTTAACTCAGACTGCATTACGCAAAAAGGAACTACTATTCGTCGCTTATTTTAAGAACAACGCATATGGGAGAAGTTTCTTCTGGAAGAATAAAGTTACGTTCGAGAAAGTTCCTCATACATGTGAGAGCAGTTTCCTTTGGATGAATAAAGTTACGTTTAAGAACGTTCCTCGTGTCAGAAGGGTACAATAAACTCCCGGTAGAATTAAACTAGTGCATCTTTAATAAATTAGTTCATCGCCTTTCGATCATAAAAAATTAAGCATTTTCACTTGGATCAGAAAGCAGATTCAAACCGAAGTAGAGAGGGGAGGGTGAAAGGATTAATAGGGGGTGAGTAAGAGGTAAAAGTCATTAATTAGAAAAGAGTGAAGGAGGTTCTTCCTTATTTTCATTTTTTTTCTCTTTTTTTTCTTCCTATCATTTTTTTTTTTTTTTTAGATATTTTCAAAGATTAAGTTATAATAAGTACCTGACACATGTTCTATAATCGGTTTTAAAGCAGACTCTACCAGCTACAATGTTAAAATTTAGTGGAAGGTTACGCTACTTTTTCGTTTTGCATATTTTATTTTAAAAATTCTTATAGTATTTCTGTTACATTGTAAAAAATTATTTTAGCAGCGGAAAAACAATTTGGTTTCGACCAACGATGCGGCTGAGCAACTCAACGCATGAGAGGCCAACCAGGAAATGTTCGCGAAATAACGCTGCCACTGTTTTTTACCGTTAACAGCAGTTTGTCAAGAATGATAAGAATTCGTAATCCGATTTTACTCACTCAGGTCCTACACACCTGAAATCACGATCACATTTCACAATTTCACGAAAAAGAAATCGCATTAGTCAGATTGAATTCAGCAAAATTTTGCAACACCGAGTTAGAGTTTCACGGAATCAAAGGAACAACAATGGCAAATTCGGGAGTTCGTTCTTGCCTTGAGCGCATCTCATAAAAGGATGATGTTTTCAGCGAGAGAGAATTGATGGGATCGTTTACGGTTAGGAAACAGCAACATCTTCGAATGGATCCGACACTAACGTTGTCATACTTGAATGAAAATTTACTTTTATACAGACTAAATCTCGATGAAATGTATGGAGGTCAACGTATATCTTCACATTCAAAATTATTTCACTTGACTTTGGTGTAACAGGAGAAAAATTGCAGCAAGTTAAGCTCTTATAACTCAGATTCTTCCAAAATGAGACTTGGTTCTTGTTTGTCGAATGCAGTCCAATGTAAAAACTGAAGGTGTTTGCCAGTGGGTGAATGTTATGTTTAAGATGGAACTATTAAGAGAACTAGAGCACGATAGTACAATTGGTTTGCAAATTGAGCAATTATTATTCGAAGAGATATGATAAAATAGCCTAATCTTCTCAAATATATGTGTTTCGATGAGAAAAGCCGGCAGAAGACGTCAAACAGTTGTACATTTTCTTACTTTCAAGTCTACTTTTCTACCATTCCCTAAATTAGAAAATAATATAAAGTATTGTGAAATCAGCTCACTGAGCCCTCTCGGATACAATTAATTCGTCCGAATTCGTCATTGTATATTTCACAATCTGAGCGAAGACTAATGGCGCCTAGGATGTCACTATTTACACAAATTGATAACACTTTTTATATTTTTGGTAAAAGGCCTTAAATAAATGTTGCTCCAATAGCATGTACTAGCTCTTGTCCTCGACAACGATACGGAAAAACACGACAAACGACCTCGAATCCAATTCCGCGACGGTACAACGGTCAACGGCGCACCGGGCCCGTCATCAACTTCGACACAACGGTTACACGACCGTGACGTCACATGTACGTGTCTGATACAACCGTGTTCCACGCACGCATCCACCACGACCGTTGCCGACTCGGAAGTCGTCGTTGCGTTCGGTTCTCTCGTAAAGCTCAAAGTGGTCTCGCTGCGAGCTTCGAGCGGCAACGCTCCCGGATTCAGGTTCGCGCTGAGGTCCAGACCGGGTCAGATGAACTTGACAGTGGCCTCTTCGCCACACTTCGGAGTCGAGCTGCGACGGTACCGTCTCTCGGTCGCTTTGGACCATCCTACATCGTTGCTAAATGTAGCAATGGCGAAGCGAGCATGATCGATTATCGATAATTCCCTATTTCAAGCTATGGTAAAAAATCGATTGATAAGGTGTTTATCACTAACATCCTGCTTATAGATCATTTCCCATATGTTTAAATACACGGGGAAAAAAACACATTGGATCTAGAGTCCAGACTCTCAAAAACATTGACAAGAAAAATTCTCTTGATTCAATCAGATTTTTGCTTAAATCAAAAGGAAATCCGCTCAAATTAAGAGGCTTGGTTTTTGATTAAAGCAAAAATCCGATTGAATCAAGAGTATTTTTTCTTGTCGATGTTTTTAAGAGTCTGGACTCTAGATCCACTGTGT